AAACATGATGATGATGAGTGTGTTTTGTCAGACGATTCGTATCCTAATGTAACCGAAATGGCGTAGGCGCATACGTTTAGACCGGAGTCTCTTTGATGTATCCTGCGTGATCGGTACACATCGTTGTGTATTCTTTCCTTTTTCGTAGGCCCCAAATGTGAGCAAATAAAAACAAGCCAAGGATCGAAATTAAATTACACAGATAATTATGAACTTTTTGATAGCCAATGAGAGCTTACGATAAACAATTTTTTAAAAGAGACTTGAAAGTTAGTACGCTTCGTAAATGCACAAGATTGCATCAAAAGTCGAGGTTTATACAGGAATATCATTTTTGCATCGGCAAGGAGATATGTTTTAATGATAAAAGCAAAGATCAAAAAGAACAAAGAATATTACATTTAGTTTTAATGTTAAAACATGTTTTTTGAAGACAGTGCCAAGAATCACCTACAGAATTTCTCGCTTTGCGGAAAAATTGCATTGAAATCGGAAGGAAAAGAGCAAGTGACATTTTATAAGAAGCAAGACTCAAAAAGAGATGTCTTCAGAAGGCATTTTTCCAGGACTCGAAGTCAAACAAGCATTGAATTTATCACAAATAATGAATTTCTGGCCTTGCAGGCCTGAGTTTCTGTCCTCAATGTGGTTACTTTCATTTCGTGTGAAGTACGGTACGTAGAAAAGTGTAGTTCCTTCATCTATCTTAAATTTTTTGCGTATGGGTTATCAGCTTGCTTTTTCTTGTAGTCATTTGACCCTGTTTGCAGAACTTGGTCATATTGACAGTAATACCTAGAGGAATCCACCTTGTCCGGAGTACAGAGAATGCATGATAATTTTTAGAGCCAGACCGTGAACTTGATACATTTCCACGGTTATGGAAACTATCATGCATACTATGGACCCCGGACAAGATGCGTTCGTCCAGGTCTTCCTGTCAATATGACCAAGATGCGTAAACATAGTCAAATAACTACTATAAATCGAAAGGAGACTGCGACCAAAATAGAGGCCGCAACAGCTTGGTCTTTGTATATACGTTTGCTTTTTTCTTGTTTTACTTGGTTTGAGATAAGCCTAAAATTGATGCAAGTTGAGAGGGCGAATCGTCCATCGAAAAATAGGATTCCGCAAAGGTAATATGAAGATAGAAATTGCTCAGGCAAAGCCACATCAAGTAAAGCAGTATTCATTTCGTTTTCGGGACCTCCAGTAAAAATTCCTTTTTAAACTTACTGATGACTATCTCTGCATCACAGAAACTCATAATTGCAGGTAAGAGACGCAGAGAACTATCCAAGACCTCAGGCCCAGAGTTTATGACCCCAGCAGAGCCAGAGCCAAGGCTGAAAGAGGCTGCGCCTGAAGATCTTCCAGATCCTCTGACCGGGCCAATTCCGACCGATCGGGATTCAAGGCCAGCTGTTGTGACAGCAGTTCCTGCCATTCTACTGCCACCTCCGACTCCAATACTACGAGGATAATTGCGAGTGCTGGTCGTACCTCCAAGAGGGCCAGATCCGGTTGGTCGGCCAGCATAAGCCGAGGTCATGCTATTGACTTTCTGGAAGGTCACGCAAATGGGAGCCAGCGAAAGCCGAAGATGGGTGAAGAAAAATAAGTTGCCCGAGCACAGCGTTAAAGACGGAGATGCATCTTGTCTGGGGCAAAGACAGAAAAATAGAACATTCAATAGCTGTGGAAAGTCAATTGACTGGAGGGGTCTTCGGATCTGTTTAACTGAATCTGTGTGAGATGTGTAGAATTAGGCTATCAAACCCAGGATATTAGATTATATGTCTAGCCTACGATGAGCAGGATGTTACAAAAAATTGTAGGAACAAATACAGCCGAATCTGACCATATTTTTATAAAACTCGCATCAAAACGATGTATTGCCCTTAAAGCCAATGTTCAGCATTTCATGCAAAACGATTTTGTAAGAGATGTAAATTTTTGAATGATATAAAATTGTCATTGTAAAACAAGCATAAAAAGAATAAATTAGAAATGTTGGTCAAAAGAGAGAAAACTGATAAAGCAGAATTGAACAATTATTTATGGGAGATCCCCAACATTCATTCTGAAATAGATAATTTTAGATTTACGTCAGCTGTAAACTAACTTTTATAAGTTTCACCAAAGCAAATAATAAAAAGATTATAAAAAAAACAATTCAAAATTAAGCAGTATATAGATGAATATGTGTATGCTAGGCCCAATATAGGAATGACTATTACTACTTCCATTAGCATTGCACATCGGACACAGATCGCTCTATATATCCATAATTAGAGCTTTTGTTATCTTAGGCTGAGTCCGGATGATGTAGGACGTATCGTTAGATTTCCCGACAATTGGGAGAGGCCTGGATTACCTTGAAAGTCACATCTGCCGCGACCCGCTGGAAGCAGCCACATTTTTTGTTTTCGTGTTTTGGAAAATTATCGTAGAGTATCGTGTCCTGATCTCACGGTGTCCGTTAAATCACGGACGAAAGCTTAGCAAGTATTCATCGGGATCACTGGACGGTGCGCTGAGCACTTCTTCAAACAAATTTATAGTCACAGCTCCAAAGCAAAATCCTCTTTCGGCTTCCGGCAAAGCCAACTTACGAATCCCTTCCACTAATCTCAGCAAACGAGATGAAAAGTAGTCCAACAGCAAGCTATTAAGTGAGTCTTCGAAACCTAATTTTGCTAAGTATTACTACAGAGCCATTACCACGAAAGCATCCAGCCTTGACCCCACAACCTGGCACCCTGACTATGGAGGCTCAGATATAGACTTGAATGCATCTGGATGGAGCTATATATTATCATTATCAGAGGCTCTACGTCTTTGCTATCATAACAGACCCCAACAGTTGTCAGTGTTATAACTAGTCCGAAGATGATGATTAGTAAAAACATTGTCCATTACAAATTAATGATTGAGTTAGTTGCAGCGAAACCTGTGAAAGTATTTATGATTCTTCTTCTTCAATACCTCCGTTTCGACTACAAATGACAAACTTGCAAATACATTGTAAGTTGTGATATCTGCTAACAAAAAGAAGCCATTTGTGGGCTAAACTTTCTCATAAAGGATGGAGAGGAATATCGTCTAGATGCGACTCTGACTAGGATTGATAAAATAACTTCTCCACTTAAGGATAGTTCGTAGACCATGAAAGAAGTAAGCTACTTGTAGCATTTCTTGTCCAGACACCTCGAAACGCGATTGTTATAACCGCTCAGAATCTTTCGAGGCAACATCACGCTATTCATGCTTTTCTACATGGGTT